TGGCGGTTCGGGCCCGGGCCCTCCTTTTGGTGAACCGAGGCCCGGCCGGTTCAAGGCCCGAACCGGGCCCGGCTCGAACCGAGTCCAGCCCTATAATAGGAATCTTAAATACACAAACACTTGGGTAATACGGATCATATCTAATCTAAATTAGTATCGTACCCGTGCGATGCACGGGACAAAACTATTTCTTTATTTTATTCATTATGTATTTCATACTACGTATTAAATATTTAAATTATTATGTAAAATATACTCCGTATATGTTTGTTTATGGACATTGGACTATGAGGAAAAGTTAGCATAAAGAGCATATAAGTTATTATATTATGCTAAAATACATATAAAACTAAATGCGTTTCGATAGAAATAGATTTGTGAAGATTCGTAAAAGGATGACTACTACAAACTTTTATTATATACTTTTTGTATAATGTATAATACGTAGTAGAAAAATATGCAGTATTTATTTTTATACTAAATGTATCGATAATTTGATATTAATTACTACGTATTTCATAGCATATCTTTTGTATGAAATGAAAACCTGGACTGTCCATATCAAAATTGACCCATACAAAATCCGACCCAATTATGCATGAACCCCACGTCTTGCGCTATACTCCGTGTTTATTACGTAGTAACGGTAGTATTACTGTCAGAAAATGCACTAAATAGGAGTAAAAACGTTTTGAAATTCCAAAATAGGAGTATCATGTTTTTTATTCCCTGAATAGGAGTAATCTGTCAAGTTTGGAAGAAAATGCCATGTTTAAAAGCCTTGTAATGCCAAACTTGGCAGAAATTTACTCATATTCAAGGAATAATAAAAAACATAATACTCCTATTTTGGAATTTCAAAACGTTTTTACTCCTATTTAGGGAATTCTCTCTATTACTATTAGTACTTCTTCCGTCCCCAAAATAAATACTCTGAAATTTTCGTTGAATTAACTTTTCCTAGTTAATGACAATGAGCTTTGAACAATAATATTTTTTAATACGAAATTATTTTTTTAAAATGGTTCCTCCAACTTTTTAAAAACTGTTTCTAGGAGTAAATTATAGCACCAGAATAACTTTTGCGCTTTCACCCAAACACTCCAACTTCTGCATCCTGAAGAAGCAGAAACAGTTTTAAGAATAAGATCAAAGACCCAAATACCCCCTAAATCTAAAATAGATTCAGCCAGTTGTAACATGCACCCCCACTACAAAAATTGTCTCATATTATTATTATTATTATTATTATTATTATTATTATTATTATTATTCATCATCATTATTTCCATTTCAGTATTGCTATACACAGACTTTAATTTAATATTATGTAGGACATATTGTTTATAATATTTTAATATGCATGTCATCATATATATATATATATAGAGTAGTCTTCTTGTCCAGCCTGCCTGACGGGAACCGCCGTCCGGCCGACGGCATTTCGGATACTTCCCGATGGAATTTTTTGATGAAATTTTTTGAGCATGTTATTCATGAAGTCTAGTTTATCCATACCAAATTTCAGCTCAAAATTCGATCGGGAAGGCATTCAAATAATTTTGTGAAGTTAACTGGGCAGTTTATATGTATGAACTGCCCAGTTAACTTCACAAAATTATTTGAATGCCTTCCGGATCGAATTTTGAGCTGAAATTTGGTATGGATAAACTAGACTTCATGAAGAACATGCTCAAAAAATTTCATCAAAAAATTCCATCGGGAAGTGCCCGAAATGCCCTCGGCCGGACGGTGGTTCCCGTCAGACCGGCTGGACATGAAAAGTCCTCTATATATATATATATATATATATATATATATATATATATATATATATATATATATATATATATATAATACTTCGTACTTCGTATATATTATTTATTATTTTTCAATAAAAAGCATAATGATAATATTGTGTATTAGTACTGTAAGTGTGTAATATATCAAAACCAAAAGATATGTCAACTAAGGTTAAGTTGTAACGTACCGGGGCTTTAATCTGATCACTAGATTATTGTCAAATTAAGTTTGCTGTTCTGGAATTAAATTGTGATTGAATGATTCTAAAAAGTGTATAACCATAAGATTTAAATGTACCTCCTGTTACGCACCAGGCCGGATTACTTGGAGTGCCGAATGTAGAAGACACGGTATATATAAATATAAACATTCAAAATATCAATTGTAATTGCAGTACATTCCCCCAACACCGTGCATACATGTTTATAATGGACTAAGCATGCTATTTTCTACCGGGATCGTAATGGTAATTGTAAGTAACCACCAGGGGCGGATGTACATTGACGTTAATGGGGGCACATGCCCCCAACAAATTTGTAATTTTTTTGTTTTATAAAGTAAGAATTTATGAAATAATTAGTGGTGCCCCCATTAAGAAAAACTTAGTGCCCCCAACAACAAAAATACACTGCGAAAAGCTAAAACATTCGTTGATTGCACCGAGTAAGCAATTTTTTTGGTACTATTTTAACATTAGGGGTAATATATTTTCCAAATAGAAGTAAATAAAAGCTAAATGGTAAGAATAAAAGTATAGGTTTTAAAATTCTCAAAATAGTAGTAACTCTTCTTATTTATCCTTCCCATGCTTTAATAAGATTTGTTTTCATTTATAATAATAAAACATATAATAATAATAAATAAATAAATATGTCAAGAAAATATGTAGGCTTTATGCCGCTGCTTGAATCACCTTCGTACCCTATCATATGTGACTGTCAAGAAGAAAATGTCACCTTGTATCAATAGTGTCATATTGATGAATGCTTCCGAGTAAAATTTGGCATTTTGAAAGAATAATAATGTCATCTTGTTTTAATTATAACTTTCAATGTACTTTTCTTATTAGTAAGAGTAGAATAAGAAGATAGAATATAAATTACTCATATTTTAAGATTGCTATAACTATAATTCTATTTTGAAATTATTTTATTCCTATTTGGGGCTATATTCACTACCTTCAGATACATCTCTTTCTACTTTTCTGAAATTTATGGTTGTTCACATAAATAACCTAAAGTGGGGTGCTCTACCACTATGAGGACGTTTGACAACACTTTTTTTCGGCTTATCAGGCTTATCAGACATCTTTTTCACCAAACACGTAATTTTTGCGTTCGTGCGCTGAATTGTGTAATAAGCAGAAAAAGTAAGGTTGGAGTTACTTTTATGGTTGTATTAGTGAAGTTTCTGTAGATGACCATTTTAACTATTTTTACATATAATTTTTCTTTATTTTATTAATAAAATATATTTTAAAAATATTTTTTTCTTAAATCAGCAAAATCACCTAATGCATCTACTTCAGAACTTATAAATTTCAGCAGAATCGGCCAAATGTACCGATTTTCGTGCTACCAAACGGGCTCTATATGTGTGTTCACAGTGCCCCCAATAACAAATTTTCCTGGATCCGCCACTGGTAACCACCCATACGTGATACGTCCACATTTTCTGAGTGGAAACGGCGCATGCCATATGCAACCTCCACTACGAAAAATGTAATACTTCGTACGTAGTATGATCCATCCAACAAAATTTAGGCCTTACAATATTTCAGATTTCCACGTGTACACATCTGGGACTTGTATTGCCACGTGTGTCCTTTCTCTTCATTTGCAGATGAACACAAAAAGTCTTAGAAATTATGTTCAATATATTAAATTTTTATATTTCCATACTAATTATGTTATGCACTGTAGTGACACGTGTGACGTGTATCCAATTTTATTTACTTTTGCTGAATGCATGTGCCACGTGTGCTAAATGTGCCAACGTATAAACAAAAGGTTTTAGGGCGGGAACAGTTATCTCCCACGGTTCCCTTGTTATATATATATATATATATATATATATATATATATATATATATATATATATATATATAGAGAAATCATCTCATCAGGCCGGCCTGACGGGCTGCCCCGTCCGGCCGAGCCCGTTTGGACACCTTCCCGGTGGAATTTTTTGATGAAATTTTTTGAGCATGTTCCTCATCAAGTCTAGTTTGTCCATACCAAATTTCAGCTCAAAATTCGATCGGGAAGGTCGTCAAATGATTTTTGCAAGCTAACTGGTCCGGAATATGTATTTTCCGGACCAGTTAACTTGCAAAAATCATTTGACGACCTTCCCGATCGAATTTTGAGCTGAAATTTGGTATGGACAAACTAGACTTGATGAGGAACATGCTCAAAAAATTTCATCAAAAAATTCGACCGGGAAGGTGCCCAAACGGGCTCGGCCGGACGGGGCAGCCCGTCAGGCCGGCCTGATGAGAAGAGCTCTCTATATATATATATATATATATATATATATATATATATATATAGATAAGGAGCCCTGGATTGTAAGAGGAAGCAGTTGACATTCAGACATACGTAATAGAGTAATAAAGACCATTCATGATCTAATCTTATAAGGGGAATTTTAGGATGGAGTCCTATAAAACAATTTATATGTATGATGGGATCTTCCATTATAACTTCATTTTAGAAATGAGTGATTATAGAAAAACATATATGCACATATGATTTCATAGTGAACAATATATGAACCCTTAACTTTTTATCTAATAATAATGAGCATTTGCTTTGATTTGAAATAGAAATATTAACCGACACTCAAACTCAATAAAAGTACACAATGCAAAGTGACATCGGCATTTAAATGGGAATGTCAACAACTCCCCTACCCAAAAGACCAGAACAAATATATATCAACCAAATAGGAGGACTAATATATAAGCATAGCATGTAAGATTTTTATTGCCTTCTTCTCATTCATCATTGCTCAGGCTCTTCTTCCTCTTCCTCCTCATACTCACCATCCTCATCAGCAGTTGCATCCTGATACTCCGAAACAAGATCATTCATATTGCTCTCAGCTTCGGTGAACTCCATCTCATCCATTCCTTCCCCCGTGTACCAATGCAAGAAAGCCTTCCTCCTGAACATGCATGGCAGTGAACTGCTCACTCACTCTCCTGAACATTTCCTGAATGGAAGTCGAGTTTCCAATAAAGGTGGAAGCCATCGATAGTCCTCTTGGAGGGATGTCACACACGCTTGACTTCACATTGTTTGGAATCCATTCAACAAAGTAAGATGAATTCTTGTTCTGCACGTTAATCATGTGTTCATCCACTTCTTTGGTGCTCATTTTTCCCCTAAACATTGCCGAGGCAGTGAGGTACCTGCCATGGCGTGGGTCTGCGGCACACATCATGTTCTTGGAATCCCACATTTGCTGAGTCAGCTCAGGAACTGTAAGGGCACGCTATTGCTGGGACCCGTAGGAGGTGAGAGGGGCGAATCCCTCCATGAAGAAGTGAAGATGTGGGAATGGGATTAGATTAACAGCAAGCTTTCTTAGGTCAGAGTTGAGTTGGCCAGGGAACCGAAGGCAACATGTGACCCCACTCGTTGTTAGTTACTCCCTCCGTCCCTAATAACTTTGCCAATTTGACCGGCACGTGGATTAATAAAGTAAAAACTGTGTGGTTGAGGTTTGTGCAAAGGAGAGAGAATTAACTGGAACCACAAATTCTTTACTTAAATGGGAAAGTGGCAAAGTTAATGGGACATCCAAAAAAGAAAAGTTGGCAAAGTTATAAGGGACGGAGGGAGTACATGCTTAAATGGTTTAATTTCTATGCCATCTGGTTCTATACTTTTATGCAAGCTCTAGTTCTCAATGGCCCAAATTTATAGCAAATAAACAAATACAAAGAGATCTTTCTAGTAGCATTATCTAAGTCTCTTCACTGAAAAAGACAGCCAGAGGGGAAATGGAAAGAAGAGATAGAAACATATTTATCCTCAGTTTCATTTTTGTATACATTTATTCAACACTGGTTTACACCGATATTGAGGTGCTTCATATACAGTGCTAGGAAGTTTATATGCAGCATACATTTCAAGTTTTCAAAAGTGCATTGAGGTTTGCATGAAATAGGAAGTAGAAGAAACAATTGCAGTTCTGAAATAAACCTTTGTAGCAGTGTAGCACAATTTTAATCTGAAAGCATTTTTGATATTTTTTTCTTTTGATTTCAGCTTGTGGTCTATTAAAGATGTAAATATAGAATATTGTGGTCCTAAAATCAGGACATATTTCCTCTCTTTTTAAAATAAGTGTAACATGTTGAATTTTACAATATTCACATGCTCTACTTTAACTAAGTTTTATTTATTAATGTATTAATAAATTATTGTTTTTAAAAATATTTTTAAATATGTCTCATTTTAAATTTTCATTTTTTTTGTTTTTTTATTAATAGAGAATTGTACTTGTTTCATCCCTGTTGGTCCCAGTTTAGCAGACTAACGATCAGCTAGATGAACATCATCGATAGACAGAAGAGAAGGATTTCATATAATGATATAAGATTTATCGAGAACAGTGAAACCTTCTTTCTGTAGTATCGAGAAGTAAATTTTGCAGCGTAAGGCTAATGTGTATTGATCGATATCGGTACCTGTACACAAGGCGCGTATTTATAGGCGCTGTACAGGTTACCGATTTAGGTAAACCTTGGAAGTTGGGCCAAGGCCTTTTTGGGCCTTATTCCCTTTACCTTATTTGCTACATAATAAATACTAATCTAATACCATAAATGGTATAACTAGTCTACTTTATTTAAACAAGACATTACAGACAAACTTGACCCACAATAAAAGTTCTAACAATCTCCCCCTTTGTGGTCAAGTGCCGTCTTGCTGGGTTTCTTCACTTCTGAGCTTTGTAATAGTTCTTTCTGAGATTAAGTGCGTGCTCATAGTTCCTGAGTGAATTTCGTTTATCAAGTTGTTTCTGGATAGCCTGTAGAATTTTGTCTATTCTGTGTGCTTCCTTTAATTCGGCATCTGTCGCATCTGCATACTGTTGTTGTCTTTCTTTGAATGCTTCTCTGATCGGTTGCAGCTTTTCTTTCACAATCTTCAGGGTTCCGTCACAGTACTTGTTGATTTCATCAATGAATAGCATATGTTTCTCACCATTATGATTTAGATAGATAAGCGTGATTGGTCTATCAAAAATGTAATACTCAGGGAAGTCCTCAAGTTCTTGTCCATACAGCTTTGGCTTTGTGAGATTTGTCTTTGGCATGTTTGTTTCAAGCGCCATCTGAAGATCATGAGAGGCAAAGAATTTGATTTGTCTGAGCATAAAGCGCTTGAGTGCATCCAGCCCATTCTGTGTAGTTGTGTCACGAGTGCCCGGAATTTCTTGAAATGCAAGATACATCTGATATATGTCATCCATTTTTAGCATATAGAGATCATTTTCCTTGCACGTGAATTCTGTTCCGTCAGACCGTTGTAGATGGTAGACAGAGAGTTTGATGTCTTGGGAGTTTGTTTCACCCACGTTGAGAATAGCCCAGACTGGGTCTTTGGCAGTTTGAAGTTCGTGTTGCCAGACTTCTCTCTGTTGTCCCATGTAGTGATGACTGAGTAGAAATAGTTGTCCGCCCTTGTTTTGTCCTCGTAGATGGTTAAGACCACAGATCTTCAGTTCATCCAATTCTCTGACCTTGTCCTCTTTTCGCCAGATGTTTTCTCTGATTTCTTCTTGAAAGGGGGCGTTGATGTCGATCCTTTCCCAGGGCTTCTCATTTCTGGGCATTTGAGCCGCTGTTTGTCTAATGATTGACTCAAGCTCCTTGGGTGGTGTCTCGTAGTTTTCTCCCTCCTTGAGTTCGTTTCGATCAAGTAGAATCACGTCAGTAGCGCAGTTGACTAAGAGATCTCTGAGGTATGTTCTTCGCTGTGCTTCATCTACATCTGTCCAGAGTTCAGACCATTTGTTATGCACCAGCATTTCCTCAAGTTCATCGTGCATTTGATCATTGTAGTAGCTGGAGGAAGCCTGTTGCTGCTGTGGAGACACGTCTGGCGTAGCATCGGGATCCTGGTGAGACTTGCAGGGATCCTCAATTATCTCAACACGATGCTCTTGCGCAGAGACCAGACCTCTATACTTCGTTACATGCGGCCAATCCTCCCTTGGCTGAAAAAGTGAAACACCGGGATCCTCAGGATTGCCCGTTGACATCAGTTTCGAACTAGGTTCTAACTGATGGCCTGAATAAGAAGATGTACTCGTGGTAGCATCATCAGGACTTCCATTCCGTCCTTGGTTAACATCTATAGGAGATGCACCTCGGGATGTTATGTCTAGCTCGACCATGCTAGAGAGAGTGGCTAGGGATTTATGGCTAGCTGAAGTAGTGGGTTGCTCATTGGTGGAGGTAGATGGTTGGTTTGGCTTTGACGGTTGGCTAGTAGAAGCAACATGCTCAAGTATCCGCTGGCGCTTGTTCTCCCCCTCATGAGAATCCGAATCATCAGGATCCTCATGTGAACGTTTAGCGCCACGGAGACTGTCACGGCAAGTGTTCTGTGTATCTAGAGCATGGAGAAGGGCTTTTTGAAGAGGGGTGAGGTTGCCTTCTTCCACGTCTAGTATACGGTCGTAGATCTCAGCTACAAGATCCTCGAAGGGTACGGTTGTTAGGTTAGGTTTGGTCGTTGTAGGGGAGAATACTAGTTCTGTATCCTGGGTTCCCCTTGATGTGGATGGTTGTTGGTTTTCTATAGTTAAGGGTTTGGAGACAGGTATGGAAATGGTTGAGGGCTGTGTTGTCTGGGGTTTGGATGGTATATTCTGAACAACTGGGGTACTTCCAGAGTCTTGTGCATTAGCGGTTATTGCTTCATGCACCCATGGCTTAATGGTAGACTCTAGAAAGCTGTTCAGATATACGAGAATGTCTTCGGGGATAATGGTACCAGTTACAGGGGTTGTAACTGTTGTCACAGCATCAGTGAAGACAGCTGATGTGTGGCCTGCGTTCAATGATCGAGGCATTGTTGGCGTAGCAGGGCTTCCGACCATCATAGTTTGCACTCCGGTCGTTGCATTCAGGGTGAGTGCACCTGTATGTGCAGTGAATAGTGTAGGTGTCCTAGAAAAATTCAAAAATGTAGGAATGGTGACACCTAGACTCGAAGTGATAGAACGGATGGGGGTAGTGGTTCGGGGCTGTTGACCACTAAGTCTCTCAGCAGATTCGGAAGGAATCAGTGAGGTCGGTGTAAGTTCCCCTTGAGATATTGAAACTCCAGTCTGTTGGGAGACTGGAGAGTGGATGGGAGATGGCTGTGCATGCGCAGTTGAACCAGATGCTGCGACTTCTACCCGGGAACTGATAAGGTCAGCTCCTGCTCCTAGGGGCGTGGTTCGGTCTATGGTGACAAAGGTGTCACAGTCATCGTATAGTGCCAGCTCCTCCTCCACTGCACTCTTCTTTCTTAGCCTCTTCTTAGGCTGTGATGATGCAGATTTGTCGTTGTTGTGTTTGGAGCGCTGCTCACTGATGACAATGCCCTTAAGTGGTCGGGACATGTGAACAGCCTCTTCATTGTCCGATGAGGAGTTGGAGTCTATCGGAATGGCCCTCTTTCCGGCTCTTTTCCTGTTGCTGATCAGAACTCCCTCCATGTCATCATCATCATCTGCAGCATCATCATCGTCATTATTCTCCTTTCCCTTGGCCATGCTATCGGAGGCCTCACCACCAGCCTTATTAGAAGGGGCCTGGCTAGATGGTTCATTGGCAGTGTCCTCAGCATTAGGGTGGCCCTCAGCAGTCTGGGTCCTCTCAGAAGAGTTAGCAGACTGATCATCATTAGGCCAGGTTGCCACTGGTTTCTGTGGCGGGGCTCTCTTCTTCTTACCCTTACGTTCACTCGGCTTGGTCCCTTGGGAAGGTCCAGCTGGGTTTTGCTGAACCATAGGGACCGTCCTCTCAAGCTCCTTCTTGTAATCAATGACTGCCTTGTCCTTCGGGTTTGCTAGATCAAGCAGGGAGTCCGGAATAGGCAGTGCTTCAGCTTTGTTACTGTCTCGTTGAAAGTACTTGAGCTTTGGCGCAGTGAAGTGCTTGTCTTCCTTACGCTTAGGGATTGTAGGGGTGGCTTCCATCATATTGTGGATCATCAGCGCCAGCCACCGAGCGTAGGGAATAGTGCTCCCCTTGTTGTTCTCCTTCATCTTCACTTGATCCATCAACTCCGTCCAGAAGAGCTGAGCCATGTCATATTTGACGTTGAAGGCGATCCCGTGGAAGATTTGGAGAATTTGTTTGTTGCATTTGTCATGTCCGGCGTGCTTAGGAGATAGGCACTTGTTCACCAGGCCGAACAGACTCTTCCACGGGTGGGGCAGGTTTGAGATGGTAAAGTTTGAGATCAGGGGTAACGGTCCTTCAT